AGAGTGAGCTGAAACCAACCTCATATTCAGGTATAAGATGAAATCTGGATAGCTGCATGTGCCAGTGTGTTCTTTTGATGGCCACTGTAGCTTTGGGTGCATTTATTTTAGTACTTTAAATCAGATCAGGAGTGTGTTTTTGAAGTGAATCTCCTGATTGTCCCCTTACAATGCTTTGGCTTGTATCGTGTAAGAGTCTCAGAGCATGCAAACTAGACTCCTTTCAGATAAAATTGAACACCAGAAGCTCAGCCAGTGCAATCCAGCAGCTGATGGGCATTCGGTCCACAGAGCAAGATGGAAGTTGGTCAGAAGTAAAAAACTCCCTCACTAACCCAGTTCTACTTGTTGGTCCATTCCTATTTCATTGCAGTAATTGCTAATGCAGACATTGGCTTTTTATGTTGCACTCAGCAACACACTTGATACGTCATTGCCTGGAAATGATACCTATCCTGAAGTCTATAACAAATCTGGTTCTATATTTAACAGGAATACTTTCTTGAAATAGAACATAAAACAAGGAGGAATGGTACTCAGCCATATTGTAAGAAAGATTTTTTTAAAAACACAAACAAACAAAAGCCACACAAGAGCAATACTCTCCCATACTCAGCTTCTTTATCTGGAATCTGACAGATTCATTTGATTTACCTTTTTTTGTGTAATTACCATACAGTGTTGTAAAAACATTAAATACTGTGGAGAAAGCGGGTTTTTTAAGTATAAATTCTTTACAGAGTACTTATCATTAAAAATGATTGTGCCATTTAAAAAATTAATGTATCAAATCAGGCGACAGGACAAGTGAGTTGGAAATCATCTTTTATAGGTATCTCTATTTCCACCTGATATCCTCATAAATTTAAAACCATCTGTCAGAATTCTTTTGCTGCAATTCTATAAAAGGGATTTTTTAGTAAGGAATAAGCTGCAATTCCATAGCAAATATTTTCGATGAGGAATAATTCCACTAAGTTAGTCTATGGCATCCCAAGCTAAATTGCTAGTTGGTGGAGTCCCACCCCTTCTCCCCATGTTTCATCCTCTGCCTTGCAGTTGTTTTGACATATATCTGACACTGCACTTTGGTATTGAACTGTGCTAAACTAGTAGAAAACTGCTCCAACAAACCAACGATCTGTTTAGCAAAAAGAATTAGGCACAAGTGGAACACTGCCAGAGCCAGAATGAGCAAGGGGCCAGAAACGTGCAGTCCGGGCTAGGGAGGAATGACACAACCATGTAAAGCAGCAGTTGAACAAGCGTCTGTTGCTGTGGAACCATACCTTTGGGATGCAGGTACCAAAGTCTCCAGATGTCAGAGAGGCATTGCCATCCTCTCCCATCATTCCCACTCCTGCTCCCAGATACACCTTTTCTAGGGCTGCAGACCTTACAAAATTATTCTTATGTATGTAGTAGTCTACCAAACTTCCCTTCAGAGCCAAAGCCTTTAGAATAGATACTGTTACCAAAAAAGCAATAAATGTATAAAACAATATTGTCTGCCTACACTCAATGTGTTTACCAAGCATTGTACAGAGCAAGACTGTGTTAGTAAGTTACTGAGCTCTGATGCACAGAAACTGGAGCAATGAGGTGCAGTAAGTACATGTGCATTAACATCTGTGTGATAATTGAGTATGTTACTATTTTGTATATTATTTTCTGATGTGTATACCTGATTGGAAGTCAGTGAAATATAGTTTGTCTTGCTTGCTTAAACGCAGTGTCAGTGGTTTAGACTGTGTATAGGCCTTTACGGAACCCATGCCAACAAAGTGTGCATTTGTAAGTACTCTCGTTGGGCCTGAGATCTTCGAGTTCAAAGTTTTTTGTTCTTTTAGTTTGCCCTTGTATGTCTTACAAGTACAGGAATAAATTATTAATTTAGTCTGTGCATGTTTAACATTTTAATTTAAATAAATGTATGCAAATTTTGCATAAAGGTCTTTTAGCAGATAATTAACTAGAAGAATTATTTAAAAGATTATCAAGTACCTCATTTGTTGTGTACAAATTTCAAGGAGCTTTTATTCCATTACACAACTTCGAGAAGTTTTTCAAAAGTGCCAGTTTTATCTGTAAAAGGTTCTATTATATATGTTTAGTATGTGGTAACAATTGAAATGTTTGCTGCACTAGGAGACTTTTACTTAATTACATATTAAAGTTTTATCCATCATCATGTGCCTTCCTACGCTGTTCTTTGCAGACAATGATCCTGCGACATAGTAGGAAGCAGTTTTCTCACTAAACTTTTATTTGCAGCAGGATTAACATGTTCTGCAAAGGAAAAAGGGGAAAAAATCTGAATTATCAAAATTAACTGAAACGCATGAAAATAAGTATCTTCAAGTAAAGTCCCATAGCAGTCTTTATATTAAATGTGTTCAAAATTTAAATTGAACTTGCTGTACTTTATCTGATGTTTCTGAATTCGTGTAAATTTTCTTAGAACATTCAGAAGTCTTCTAGTGTTATGATGAGCCTTTAAAAATGTTCAAATTACCATCTTTTAACCTTCTACAAGGCTAGAAATATAGTATAAAGCAAGACAAGTATTTGATGTGAAACAAATGTGAGGCCCTGATTACATAAGAAATGTCATATTAAAGCATGTATAACATGTGTAACACAGGCAGGTGCACGAAGTTGAGTAAGTAGCTTTGAGCAGATTGAGCTGAAGGAAGCACCGAAGATCTTCCCGCCCTGTTAAAGAGTGTTTGTGCGCAAAGCCAAGACCACGCTCGCTCCTAGATTGGGTGTTTTTTGTAATGGCTGTAGCTAAGGCATGAGTGCACATGGCTGCTCTTGTCTTATTTGGGACAACTGCAAACACTTTTCAGATACTAGGAGGGGAATTAAGCTAAATCCTGTATAGGAGTATTCACACCAAAGTTTACACTCAAATAAATCAAGTAAATCTTTAAATAAATCAAATAAATCTTTAAATAAATCAGATTAAGAATTGCTTTAATTAAAGTCATTTAACTTCCATCTGTGGTCCAGATCTCTAAATATAAAATGTTACTTCAATAGTACAGACTGAGGTTGAGGAATTGTTGCAAGTTTGAGCTTAGAGGTTGACGAAATAAGATGAAAAACAGATAATGCAGATACAGTTTAGTATTTAACTTAAAAATGTATTTGTGCAGGTGGGTTTGAAACACTGGAAAAACAGGAGGGAATGTGGGCAGAGCATTGCTAGTTTAGGGAATTCCATTCTGTTGTTATGCAGAATTCCCAACTATAGTTTGAATCTGATTTGAGGAAAGGGAACTTAAACTGTTTATGAAGTTATCTTTTATAATATGGTACACTTTAGAAGCGCTATCTTGGGAACACATTTAGGACTTCATTGAGGCCGTGAAAATCCCACTTCTGTCTTAGATTCCACTTCAGAAATACATCTTGTAGGGATGGGGGTTTTTATCAATTTTTTCAGTTTAAGTTCTGCTTAAACATTTTAATTGAAGACTAAGACATTGCAGAGTCAGATTTCTCTGCCAAAACAATTTCTTGGTGGTCAATCTCACGACTTGCAAGATTGATGGGTTTTGCATGTTGAGAGCTATGAGCATTTAAATGAAAATTAACAAGGTGGTAACTATAATGTAGATTGACCTAACTGCCGTGGTGACTGATATCTCTACTATTGTAGAGACATTGTAAGAACTAGGCTTGATTTATCAATCCTTATCTGAGAAACCCATCCAGTTGGGTACAGAGGCAGGATCTATCTTTGGTCCTTGATGAGTTAGTGTACCAGTAGAACTAGTATGTTCACATATAAATCGTATTTAGTTTTTGGACAGAAGCAAGCTAGCTATAATGTGCTCATTATTAAGAGTTGAATGCAAACGTGAAGTGGATGTGATACGGGGCTCTTGAAGATATCCTGGAGAACAGTGGAATGTCATCCCATAAGAAAGCCTGGTACTATTCAATACTGCTTAGCAAATCTTTACACTTTGTCCAACTTTTATCTTATAATAATGTACACTTTTTACAGTCATATAGGCTTTGTGTCTTTGCCCTAGCTTAGAGTTCAGGTGTTCTGCTTATCAAATATATTTAAATACATTTAATCAATTACGTGTTCTACCATTCTTTGCATCAAGAAACAGACTAAAACTAATGAAGTAGTATTTGAGCAGTTTGTTGGTTTAAATTGTAATCTTTATCAGGTATTTTGAACTTAGTGCGGTCCGTGCTCTACGTGAAGGGGAGAATATTGAAGTGGTGATGCTAGTAAACAACAAAACCCAATATTCCATTCTTTCAGTCAGTAGTGTTCCACAGTCTGTCTTTATTAGAATGAAATACCACAGGACCTGAATACCTTTTCACTTTACTAGGGTAATTATTATAGAATAGTTTGCTCAGAAATGTAAATTCCTAATTCTGTGTCTAGGCACATAAATAAAGATGGCTTAATTCTGACACCTTGCAGGTGTCAAGAAGATGGAGGAGAGGGAAGCAGCATCATTCTCACTGAGGTATCTACAGTAGAAAATTAGGCTTACTCATGCAGATTTTAAAGGCTAGGTATGTGTGTATGCATTTGCAGCCTGCTGAAGTTTATCTTAGACTCCTTTAAGAGAAAAGTCTTGAGTTTCCTTTAATTTCTGGGAAGCTTCAAAAATGCTTATAAGGGACATCAGAGATGGGGGACATCAGAGATGATGGAAGTCTGATATTTTGTTGCTGTAATCTCCTCTAGGCCTTACTTCAGACTCACGATGTAGTGGCACATGAAGTTTACAGTGATGAAGCGCTGAGAGTTACACCTCCTCCCACCTCTCCATACTTAAACGGAGATTCTCCAGAAAGTGCCAACGGCGACATGGATATGGAGAATGTAACACGAGTTCGACTGGTGCAGTTCCAGAAGAACACAGATGAACCAATGGTATGGAGGGAACCTCAGTAAATTTTTCTTGACTCTGTACTGGTAAAGTCCAATATTATAATGATTTTAATGACAGTTGCTGCACTTTGGAGCAGGGTTACCGGTATAGTTGGAATAGTTCAGCAGCCATTGTAGATGCTTATCTCCTCCCGTGTATGTCCTTAACTTAAAATGCAGTGTGTGCGTTCGTACTACTGCTGTACCACTAGAGCTGGTTTTGTTTTAAAAAAACCTTGTAGTAGTTATACCAGATTAGGCTTTAAACCAAACTGCACCCTTAGCACTTCAATACAAAATTACATTTTTAACAAACCAGAATCTTACATGCTCATAAATTATTGCATCTTCACTTACAAATACCAGCTGTTTTCCTTGCTTATATTGAAGTGTGTGGCAAAGTTTTTATTTTAACCTTAAAATTTATACCCTGCCTTCAAGCTTTTAGGGAAAGTGACTGTTCTTAACCACTCAAGAATCAAATTGGTTAATGTTTTGTTTTAAGAGTGTAAACATTTCTTTTTGCAGGGAATCACTTTAAAAATGAATGAGCTGAACCATTGCATTGTGGCAAGAATTATGCACGGAGGAATGATTCACCGGCAAGGTAATCATGTGTCATAAATAGTTTTGTCTTCAAACACAATTACTTAGATCATTTTGTACAAACTGTGTAACAGTACATGCGCCTCATTTTGATTGCTACTATTCCATAGTAGTGTATCTCTGTATCTGGATGGAGTCCTGCTAACTGTCTTTGCTACCTTCCAGTTGCAGATGTCTTTGAGCATTTTGAAACAAGGGCCCACTATGATTCATTTAGGCCTTAATTAGGATAATGGGAGTCTAGCTCAGTAAAAGGTGGAAATGCCAGTGATTTTTGGAGCTGTCCTTGCTTAATCCTTTGTTTAAAAGAAAATAAAAATCCTCAGACTAGCTACAGTACTTTTCCTTGTAAAAATGAGAGAGCTTTGTTCAACAAGAAATTTAAATTTCTCCATATATTTTCACACAATTCTCGAGGATCTTTGTACTTTTGATGCTGAGGCACATAAACACGATTTGTGAAATAAAAATATTTCTTGTGCCTAGAACTTGAATCTTTATTTTCAGTTTTCACTACTGTAGCAAATGCTGCAGACACGCATCTTTTCTCATCTCCAGTCTACATCTTTTTACAGCGATGCTTTCCCTGATGTGTTCACTTCATCTCTGACATAATCAAACCTGTTAAGAAGCAGGAAAGATAAAACTTTTCATACAAGCAAAGTTGCAATTCAGATAGCCTTTCATATTCCTTTAGAGGACCCTCTGAATTGGAATTTATTTGGCTTCTGAAAGTAAATTTTAAAAGGAGATTGCTCTAAGATTCACAGGAAGGTTTTCATCCAACTGTACTTAGGTAGTAGTAATCCTCTGCAGAGCATGGTTTCACATGACTGTGTTGCATAATGGGGGTAATGAAACTTTTAAAACCTGTTAAAACTGGGTAAAAAAATCCAACTATGCCCATTAGAATTCTGTTCTTTTCTTTTTAATTATACAGTGTCTCCTGTTTCTAAAAATTGGGGAAATTTAACCCATTCTATATGTGCTTCATCAAACTAAGGTAGCCCTTCTGCACATAAGTTTAGTTTGAAAATGAACTGTACTTCAGTGTTTCTGTAGTATTATAATCTTTTTTTAAAATGTTTCTAATGTTGCTAGTGCTCTAGATGCCTCTTAGCTTCACTGCTTTGTTCAACATACCTATATTTAGAATATTTTCACTGAATAGGACAATGCAAATGTAAATTGACAGTGATCTCCAGCACATGTCTTTTAATCCTATTGACAGGGTCTGTGGCTTTATTCTTTTGGGGTTTTTTTTAATGTTGTTGTTTCTGCTGTCTCCTCTTGCTATATGGAAAACTGCCAGGCAATAACAGCAATGACTAGATAATAGATCTACTGGGAGGGTTACAGGAACTATATCAGTTCAGGTCTAGCAATATTAAGTGCAAACTGCACAATTCCCAGTCACGAAATAGGATTTTCTTTTGGCTACAAAACATGTTTCCAAATAGAGACTCCAAGAATTTTTCTGCCTTCTTCCTAATAGGGTAGGATTTCTCATACTTCTGTGCAGAGCAAGAGCACATACTTCCTAAACTGTCTTCACTTTGGCTTGCAAAGACAAAGAAGGAAAGCATTTACTCCAGAAATACATCCATTCTTTGTCATTACAGATGTGTTATACATCAATATGTCATGAATAGCTTAAGTTCCAAATAAACACTGCACTGCCAATAGAAAAGGAACCAAAGAGAACCAAAATTAGATGGTTAAGCATAGGTATTATGGGAGCTACAAATGGTACAGAAGACTTAATGTTCAAAGATGTTAAGAATACTCTTTTAGAAATAGAATATTTACAAAGAGTAAAAAGTTTCTGCAAATAATAAAAGCCTCTTCCCTCAGACTGAAAATGTTTTCCTGTGGTTTATCAATGCGTCCACCCCCCAAAACAGAATGGCCGTCTGCTGCTAAATGTCCGTGATTTATTCCCAACGTTTATGTGTACTACTCCATTCCAGGCATGAACAAAACAATATTCACTTCTGTCAGAGTAACAGAAATGGGAAATGCTCCAGAAGGGGAGATTTTATTTAAATGCACTATTGAAATTATTTGATACAGGGATATTAATGAGTCTGGTTCTCATTCTAATATTTAATTCTGTCAGATTTATATTCTGAATAAATAATGCCAAAGAATCTTTATACTATTCCAGGGAATATGCTCTTTGTGATTCAGTATTATTGCTTAATAACAATTACACTCACGTCAAACGCAATTTCATTTTGGCATGATACAGTCAACACAGAGCCTCATTTTTTTAGTATTTTTTTTTAGAATTGGGTATTGGATGCCTTCCTAAGAAAGTCTGCCAAAACTGAACTTTCAAAGTGTTTCACTAGAGATTTGGTCATTACTATTCTATATGCGAACTAGATTTAATTTAAAATTCAAATGCAGGACCGTTGCATTCACATTCAGTAAACTAGTAATTGTGATATATTTTCCACTGAAGAGTGGAAGAAGAGTTGTGATCAGTCCTTTTTTGTAATTATTTCACTATCAGCACGTCAGCTCCTGTAGAATTGTTTCAAGCATTTAATGTGGCTGAAGGACTTACTTTTGAGAGTACTGCAAGTTTTTGTAAAATTTGGGCTCTCGTATAGCACTGGCAAACAAGCTTCTCTTTTGCAGAAAAGATCCCAAAGGTAATCATAGCAACAGAGCTTTTCAGGATTCTTCTTGGTTCAGGCTGTGCTTGTGTTTAGCAGGCACACAGTTTGATTTTCCTACATTTGTCCAGCTGAAAGTTTTGCTTGCATGGTATTCTTTGGGAAGACTTAATATTTTGGTTCAGGAAAAGAATTTTAAGGATTTTTTGGGATTCTAGTTGATTGACTTTTTTCAGGTAATTTTCCATAGATAGGTTTTAGATTAGAAAATGTTTGCTAGTTGCTACTTTTCCAGGTAAGATTAATTATATTAGGTACAGTAATTGTATTAGGTACAGTATTTAGAAAAGAATGCTTGTACAAAATATTTAAATCATACAGCAGAAAGAAACATATGTGAAGTAAATGGTCTTTTCATATTTCATTATATATGAAAAACATCTTCTGGCTAATAATAAACCATGGAAGTTTGGGGTTTTTTTTGAGAACTGCTAGAGAATTAGGTGGGCTTGAGCTACTCAATCAGAAATTATCATCCAAAAAGAGCCTCCTAGGTTGCTTCTAATCTTGAAGATAATTAATTCATTTACTGCCTCCTCCTTGTTGAGCTATGTCTAAAAGCCAAACTGCATGAAGTAGTCATCTGATAAAATACTGCTTGAATATCTCTGTTGAATGTTTCCAGCTGACTAGTTGCAAGTGACTTTCTTTTCAGTGTGTGGGTTTCTACAGTGTCCTTGTAAGGGACTCACGTTTTCCCCGGGTACTTTACAGGGTGCCTGGGCATCTCATGCTGCTGTATTAACTGCACTCTGAAAGCCAGATTTGTAATCTTCGGTAGCTAGTACATAGCTCCCAAAGTCCATTTCTGAATCTAGCCCAAAAAATTATTTTAACATTGTTTCATATTTATGCCTTTGTATGAATATTAGTACTGTCTTACAATTATCTCAATTTGTAAAAGCACGTTTGAGGTGACTGTGTTTTGTTAACTCCGCAGGTACGCTACATGTAGGGGATGAAATTCGAGAAATAAACGGAATCAGTGTGGCAAATCAAACTGTAGAACAACTACAAAAAATGCTTGTAAGTGCCTGAAATCTTTCTCATGTTCTTTATAAAAGTGCCTGTCTTATTTTGACAAAACCCTTATGTAATTGCATTGTGACTTCCTCTTCTTCTTCTATTCCTGACAGCCTGCATGTGCTACATGCAGAGTCTTCCTGTGTTCAGCTGTTAAAGTCTTCTGCAGGCTCTCCCCTGTTTTTCAGTAGTGGCTTTTCTGCACATTATACTCAGGAATGATAGAAGGCACCTCCAACTGTCATTTTATTTTTTCCATTTGGTCCCATGGAAAAGATTATTGACACCCAACCATTCCTGATAGATGTATGCCTGACCAGCTCTTAAAATAACTTGAGGAATGGAGGTTCCCCAAACTGTCCAGACAGTTGACTTTAGTATATAACTCTTCTACATTTTAGAAAGTTTTTTCTAACAGTGAGTTTCCTTTGTTGAAATGCAGGAGTTTCTTCTTTTGTCTCTAGGAGGCATAATAGAAAAAATACTGCTTTCCTCCTATTACTCATCTGAAGTTAGTCTATAAAGATCATGCCCTTATTTTAAATCTTAAGTTTACACCAAGTGTAGTCACTGAGTATACTATGAGATAAAAGAAACTTTTCTGGACTATTGATAGAATTGCTACATGATTGGTCTCCGGTCCAATCTCATGCACAAAGCAGAGTCAACACTGAATTCAGCCCAGGTTGCTCAGGGCTTTGTCTGGTTAAGCCTTGAAAATATCCAAGGACAGAGATTTTGAGCTCAGACAGTCTGGCGTTTTGCAGGAAAACTCCTTGTTAGGCCTTGCAGGTAGAGTCGGTTTGATGTTCCGTAACACTTGCAAATTTTTCTGCGTGCAACTCTAATCTTGGGATCTTGGATGATATCACTAATCCTCTTGTTATATCCAGAACTACATAGACTAAATGAGTCAGTGAGTCCAGGCAAATAGCATTTTTTTGGCTCACAATAAGCCAGACAAAGAGAGAAAGGGGAAAATCTCAAAGACCACTTGAAATGATCTGCTTACCTTTCTGCCCAGATCGAGTCCTGCAGTTGTCAGCCATGCGGTGGCATTTATATTCTGTCACACAAGAAAATATGGCTGAGCAAATATATTGCCACAATCTGCTGTTATTCTGCAGTTACTACTTGTTATCAATATTCTTATACTCTAGTAAATACAAGCTGGTAGACCCTGTGTTCTCTTCTGATGAAAGACTATTTCTTACACTTCTACCTTTAGTCCAGTAACATGCAGCTTTGCAGAAACTGTGAATATGCTTTTGCATATTTTAAATGTAACATGTATGATGAAAGGGAAGAAAATGTCACTTCAGTAGCAAAGATGCTGTGGATCACAAGAATATAGCTGCAAAGAAAACACTGATATGGAAGAAACCTACACATTTCTGAATCTCTCACCTTAAAATACAGCTGTAGGTTCTAGGCTGTATTCTAAAACTGGTCAGGCAAACAAACTAATGATGTATGTTTGTCTTTTAGATTAATGAGAGACGATGTAGATGTTTGTTTATAAGTGAAATGACAAATTAGCCATAGCATTTTAGTTTTTCTGAATATTTACGTTAGGAAAACACTGCTGCTCTCGAACCATGATGCTTTCCTTTCAGGCATTAATGATTTGGAGATTTTATCTTCATTGTCTTAGTCTTTAAAGAAGTGCTTTTCTTTTTGCAGAGGGAAATGCGTGGAAGTATCACCTTTAAGATTGTGCCAAGTTATCGCACACAATCTTCGTCCTGTGAGGTAATGAATTTAGTGAACCATCCTATTTCTTCCTCAGTCCTGTAACTAACTGCCTGCTGATGGCTGAATGTTACTGCTTTCTGGGAAATTGTTTCTGCCTGTCCTGTTAGATCACGCACACCAATTTTACAACAAAGATAACGGAACATGAGTAGGTCCCACCTACCTACTCAGCCCTGCCTTCATATTCATCTCATCAGCACCTTAACTAACTCTTTACAGCCTGTTCAAAAAAAAAAAAAAAAAATAGGAAAGGGGATCCTCAACACATGCATTTAGGAAGCCCCTTTAAAAAAAATTACAGTTTAAACTTGTTCTCCAGGAAGTCTATTAAAGTTCTAAGCTGAGGAACAATCCTCCTTTTTTTTAGGCATTAAACATTATTTTACTGCTTTGGGCTGTTAAGGGTTAATTGAAGAATCTGTTTCTGTATAACCCTGTTGGAGGTAAATTTGTGATGATTGTCTGTAACAGTTACATGTGGCTTAATAGTATGTTTCCATGAAAAAATTGTATTTGTCATTACAGAAGCAAAACAGATTTGGAGTTAGTTCTTGATGAACTAGAAACTTGTTGTTACGGTTTTTGCACAGGAACGTTTAATTCCCTTCTGCTCACAAAGTTATGTTCCGGATTGCAACTGAAGGGAATTAAGTTCTAGAAAATGGCTACTTGAGAGATACTGTTCCAATTTAAGCATACAGATGGCATATGCACTCTGTAGATGATGCCAGTCTTTCTGTGCCACATGCTTAACTGCGCAAACAGTTCCCAAATTAGAATTCCGAGAGTGAAATCATAATCCCTGTTGAAGTCAAGCACCTTATCTTAATTAGAGCTGTGATTTCACCCTAATTGTTTTTGTGTCTCAGCAGATGCTAGAACACACAGAAACTGGTATTATGATTGTCAGAACAATCTGTTTGAAAGAAAAAAAATTACTGCTTTTTGGTTGCCTTCTGTATTTTTAATAGAAGTCAACAAGAACAAAAAGGTTTTAGAGGTAGAAGTTTTGACAAATTTTCACCTATGAGGCTGATTTTCTTAAAAGGTGTAAATATGAAAGCAAAAATTTTTCACTAAATGCAAAAGCTTTAAAAAAATTAAATAGAAATTCTAGAGTGTGCTGACAAATTTATGTATTGACTTCTGTGCTGTAAATAGCAGTAATAGTAAAAGATACCTCACTTCCCAGTATTAAAATACAGAAACCGGTAAAACGATATACCTGCTAGGAAGATGATTCTTTGGAGAATATAATTCAGCATACAGCTTTAAATTAATACCATTAGGTAGTAGCAGTTTCTCTCTTTTCCTTAGCTTTGTGTGCTTAGGTTCTTCTTGACTATTTATTTCACAGAAGAGAGGAGAATGGACTCTTACCTTCCTTTGGAAAAAAGAGCAAAACTAGAAAGACACTAGACTGTGACCAAAGACAGAGGGGGAAAAAAAAACCACGTCTAATTATCACACTTCGTGGCATTTAGCATTCATTTAATAAGAGGCGCCTGAGTCTATTCCACCTGCTCGGTCATATCTATGACTTTGGCTATTTTTTCAACTGTTATGAGTGTACACAAAAAGCCAAACATTTTTTAAATCATCCTATTAAAGCATCACTACTCCTTTGGTACAGAGAGAATTTCTTTTGCAGACTTTTTCAGGGTTATGATTCAGATAAATCAAATTCTTAACCATTGATAAAGGCTAAAAATGAATGTTGACTGACATTACTAAGACACGAAAAGCTTGCTTCTAATGCTCTGTAGCAGGATAAATTCAGAGATATTGCGTCTTCACTAGTACAGTCTTACTAGTTAATGTATTTTTTGGCAGTATTTCAGATATTTCTATAAATTTATGTGTGGTTCCCCCCCCTCAGTCATGGACTCACATAGTGTGAGTCACAAAAGAGGAATATAAAACAGAATCAATAATTGGGGGGTTTTTTAAGGCTGCTACCATGATCACATCGTTGGATTGCAAAATATCTTGTTGATTTTGAATAAGAAAAACTAAATATTATTAGAATCAGAGGTGATCTGCCTTTTTTATACAATCTGTCTATATGCCTTTATATACAAAGTTATGGGGGGTGTTTTTGAGGGGGACCTATTTTTCAGTTGACTGAGATCTGCATCTCACTTGCCATATTTTTCTTCTTCTGTGGGCATTTAAGAGAAGTGTTTTGGTGGTGCCGAAACTTTTGCATATTTAAGGAGGTCTCATCCCTGTAGTATGTAATGGCACTTCAGTGTCACTAGGCAGTTTCTAAAATCTAAATAGAATAATGTAAATTTTTTTAGGGATTTGTGGCTTTTACTGCACCCGTGCCTTCCATTCAGTTACCAGGCCTTCTATTTTATGGAGTAGACTTTGTGTGAAAACATAATACTTCTGAATTCCCTTGTATAAAGATTTGATTGGCTGATCTATTGTGAGATGACCTGTTTAGTCATTGGTGTGGCAAATGGCCTGAGTTACACAGATTTCTAGATAACACAGTGGCCAGGATGTGTTTACGGGTTCAGATACTTCGGAAATTACAGACTGAAATAAATATGAACTTAAGTAGTTATTGCAACACTTTCTTCTTATGGCTGATGACTGCGTATGCTGTTTATCCATCCAAGCTAGTACTTTATCCAACTGAGTAAGCATTTTGCTTTAGCTACACTTGCATTCTTACTTCGTACTGACAAAACACCCTGAGTAACTTTTTATAGTGTCAGATATGTGAGAATGGTAAGGGAAGTACTTGTTTTCCTTTTTTTCCTTTTTTTTTTTTTTTAACTTTCCTTATAAACATCTTTTATGTTTCAGACTCTCTTTGTGAAACAGTTAAGTTGTTTCATTAAGAAGAAAAGCCTTTATATATATGAGAGATTTTAAAATTTGGTGGTAATCATCATGGATTTTTTCCTTTAGCCTTGCAATGTTTCCATTAGTGCTGAGACTATAAGATTTTTTATGGTCATATCATTTTACATTTGTATTAAAAATACTTCCAGAAAGGTTCCTTGAGCAAGACTGAAATTGAAATGCATTTGCAGGTTTTTGGAAAGTCGTCTTCTGGTTTTTTTCTTTTGTTTTTTTCTTTTTTTTTTTTGATCTGGCAACAGTGTCATTAATCTAGCTGTTGTTCTTGTCAGGCTAATTTGATTTAATTTGTCTAATTTGATCAGGCCACGTGTAGTAGACATAATTGACTTCTGCCATAGGATTGCATCTCAAATGCATTGATTTATCATTCAGAATCCACACCTAAGAGCAAGGAATCAACAGGAAACTAGTTTTGCCGTTGTTTGGAAATAATTGTGATTGTTACCTCTAAGGTTCCAGCTGTGGTGCTTGACCTGAAGAGCAGGGATCCAAAAGCCTGCCATTTTGTTATTTGGCTAGGGGCTAGACAAGATTGGGAAGTCTGGAGAGTCAAGTTATACTGGAATATGATGATAACACTTCTGCGTTACTCAGAATCATTGGATCCTCTAAGCTCCAAGTGTTTTTCTTCTCTTATCCCCAGGAAAACTAGGGCTTTTTCTGATTTACTGGAGAAACAAACTCGCGACCAAAGCTGAAGTTTTCCAGTCCAGTTCTAAGCAGTCCTAGCATTCTACAGGGATGTCTCTACTCATGGATTTGTCTGATTAGACTGTGCATAATACAGTTTTTCTCTTAACTTTTTGAGTCTGGTATTTTTTTGAAAGAAAGACTAGATCCCTAGGAAGTTAAGAATCTAAATGCCTTTGAAATTGTGGCTGAACTGCCTAATTATTTAAAAATTGTACATTTGCCTCTTGACGAGCTTGATAGATTAACTTCTTACAGTTAGTACTGAAATCACCAATAGCACCAAAAATGTGTATTTTCATCAGTATGTTGTGATGAACATTTGCTTTGAGTAATATGCTGTCTTCTGTTGAGGAATACAAATCAAAACATTCTCAAACCAAGAAAATTTCCTTCAAAGGCAGAAGCCTTCAAGAGTGTCTGGAAATAGCAGCATTCTCCAAATTACTCTAAAATTGTTTTTCTCCAAATGACTTGGGTGCTGGCATCACTTTCCAAACTTTGTGCTAAACCATCACTGACTAAGCAGATCGTAACAAATTAGGTTTAGAAAAAAGCTAATTAATTTAGGTTTTCACCTCTTCTTGAAAGTGAGAAATTGGCAGAGACAGAATTGCAGAGCAGGCAGAAAATCTCTTTATAAAAGAAGAAAGTCACTGCTTTTTTGGAGAGAAGTATCTCCTAGCTGCTATTCAATAAAGGGGATGCTGATAATCCCATACACACAAAAAAAGAATAACGGTTCCTTTAGGCCTCTCATTTTTCTTTTTCTTTGAGTAATGAATAGCTTATTTGGTCTCATTTCAACATTTTAAACTTGTTATGCTAGAGTAATTTGGTAAATATAATTAGAGCTGATTTCCCCCACTGTGTTACATGTTGCAAATAACTGGGGGAGCCAAATGAGCATTTTGTTCTTATGCATGTAGCAGAAGTATACAGACCTACATAATTTGAACTACAATGATTTTACAGCCATAATATTGTCAGGTCTGTCCTCAACTGTGTTAAAGCAAGCATGTAGATGGTATGCACCTTGCATCTGCTGTCTCCTCACTGAAAGGCAGGACCACACTGGTAGTCTGAGTCAAGAGGGGTGGCTTTTTTTTTTAAAGTGATATATTTTGGCGAAGTTTGATGTTTATAAGCCCATAAGAATACTGGAGGGAAAAACCCCTCAGTATGCGAAAATGGCTGAGGGGGGAGAAGAGTATCCAGCTTCCTTCTCACGTGTTAGCTTCGGTGTCTGGGAGACGCAACACAGAGATGCATCGTACAGAGTAGAAACCAATCCACACTGACCTCCACCACATAGCTGAAAAAAGATGTAGACGCGTCTTTAAAATGGAGTATGTGTCTCATTCTGTTCAAAGTATTACTGAGCATATAACTTCCAGGTAATTACATTCAGCAAAGGGACCAGTGTGACTAACGGCCTTTAACATTGTCAGCCACCTGAGATCTAAGAGGTCCTAGATACTCGGTAGTTAAAAAGCTGATTGATGGCAAAAGCAATGTAAAAGTAGTTATTACCTAGGATACGTCAAAATGTCAAACCTGAATCTTAAGCTATGGAAAAACGTTTTGGATTTACGGAGTTTGTAGCGTGGAAACTTTCACAGATGAAGCAGCTAAGCAAATGGTTATAAGGC